AAAACAACAACCCACACTTCGGAGGCCCCCGTAGAGGATCCCTCCGTCCTCCCTTGTGCTGTAACAGTGACACAGGATGATATAGATGAGTTAAACAGGGAATTGCAAGAACTGTTAACAGACTCAGAAGAGGGGGGGTTGGTCGAAATAGACTCGGCAAATGAAATCTACATCCCCCCTTGGCATTAGCACAGCAAGAGGTGATGGCCAGAACGGCGGATGATGGTGATGTCAGTTACGACGCTTTTGAGGGCCTCGATCGGGATGTGAAATGCAATCTGATTCGGTGGGCCGACGTCGCGGTAGAGGCAGCCTCAAAGGAACTCGGAAAAGAGTATGCCTTCTCCGCATTTTCATTGATTTTTTCATGGAAATCGGAGCAACAAATATATCACATCGACTTACAGATGGGCGCTTATCAGTTTGCTTTGATTCTCACGGAAAGTGAAAGTACGATTTATTCATCCGCAACGATGTCACTCGAGGACGCGTGCATCGACCTCGGTATCGACCATTTCAATGATCCCACTCTAAAAAATTTTTGTTCACTACTTTCTCCTCTCAATAGAATTGATCACTTCAGCAAATCAATTACGGATGGACGGGTGAAACCGGGAACTCTTTCGATAATTGGAGGCGGCAAGATTCACGCAAAGCCGAAGACCACAGGGTTCAGGGCGGTCATCTTCTTCTCCGCGTGCCTGATTGGGTGGCGCTCATACAACCCAAATGAGCAGTATAACGTGTTTAGTCTGCTGGACGAGATTTATGGTCGTGCTAAGAGTCCTGAAGAAGAAAAAAAGATCGAGATGGAATTCGAAAAACACCTCCCGTACTACAGAGAGTACTACGGTGAGGTCCATCTACGTGAAGTTCTATTAAGGCTAGATGAAAAAAGCACCCTTTTACAACGAGGCCTCTCCTACCTGTGCTAACTCCCGCAGCCATGAATAGCTGCATTCTGCTATCTTGAGGGGGCTTGAAGAATCCTATGCTAGCATGGAGCACCACCAAAATATAGCCATCTTCTAGAGAGATAGAGAGTTTTGTATCTCCCTAGTGGCTCGCTGGTACAGAGTCACCCAATATCCTTCCCCTTTCTTAATACTTTCTAACCCTGTTATAGTTGCTTCCCGCACTGTATGGCCCCCTGGAACAGCAAAAAGGCCTATGCGAAAAATGTTCGGTAAGAAGCAACCCCGCCCAAGGTTGTTTGACTGCAAGGACCAAGATTGTAAGGGGAATTGTAAAAGAAGTGGTTCCAATGGTGGCCTGTGTTCCAGGTGCCTAAAAGGAACGGCAACACAAAAGAAGAAGGAAGTAACAAACCGCACTTTGGAGTCCACCGTAGAGGATCCCTCCGTCCTCGCTTGTCATGTAAGAGTGACACAGGATGATATAGATAAGTTAGTGCCGAGGAGCGGATGTAGATTTGGCGCGCTGAGTCTATTTCGACCAAACCCCTC